GATACATGCGACCATGTGAAGTCGACGCTTCCCCGTCAAACAAACTAGTACTAATTTATAACATCAAGTATGTTTCCCTCTCGCTACGAATGAACACATGTTGAGATACACGATTGTGCCTTAACTTGTGTTGATTTTCAGTAATGGCTCTTATAATACAAAACAGAAAACAATATCAAAATCAAGGCAAGAAAATTTTGGAGATGCATCTTCGCAAAACAGAAAAGCAAAATCAAAAAAATTCGGAAATGCATACCCGTAAAACTAGAAAGGCAAGAAGTTCCAAAAAACGCTGAAGATGTATCTCCGTAAAAATGTGCAAATTACAGACATTGCAGAAAAACACATATAATGCCCTAAACACCAACAAATTCGTTTGCATGTCCAAACAAAGTACATATTTTGAAAATAACTACAAACTAATATATTTTAAACAACCTATTTACCGAATACATGAATCACAACTAAAAAAAATGAGAAACTTATCGATTGAGACTTTTTGTGCGAAAACATGAATGAAGTGAATAGAATATACTATAATTGATTGCAATGCAGTTGAAGTAGTGTTGAATCTTGAAAAATGGTTTTCTCGGTGTTAGACATGTGATTTAATATACAATAGGGGGTGAATTGTGTGTTTCAGAAAAATTTTGATTTGAAAAACTTTTCGAATCAAAATTAAAGTTTGAAAACATTTTTAGAAAAGATTTATAAATAAGCAGCGGAAAAATAAAACTGTAGAATATAAAGTGTGTAAAATAAGGAGTTTAAGAGAAGAGAGATGAACGCTATAAATTATACAGGTTCGGTTAAAAACGACTTACTCCTGTTACTAAGATTTGATCTTAAAAGTGTTAGACGGTGGCTTCGATCTAGAGGGGGTGAATAGTTCACAAATTTTACAACCAAAAACTTTGACAAAAATTTGTTTTCAAAAATATGGCACAGCGAAAAAACGATCCGGATCGAATCGTCTAACTGAACCTACTATCGAAAAGCTATATACATTTGGCAAAGCAAACAAAATGATAATGAACGTAAATGTTTGAAAATAATTAAGCTACGAATCAATTAAATGCAAAGCTATTTGTAACTCGTATTTCCAATGAACAAAAAAAATTAAAAATACGCACAAACAATTCATCGAACACTTGGTATGCAATCGATAGCAATTGGAAATTCAATTTATTTTGTTGATGTTAAAAGTCAATCACAATCAAAGTGATTTTGATTATATTAATAACAACACTTTTAAAAAGATAATTGAAAAATAATTTACAATCGAATTGATCAAACAACGATGAACTCAATAAATTGTGAAATCAACAATTAAAGCGATAAGGAGATGAGAGAGAGAGAGAGAGAGAGAGAGAGAGAGAGAGAGAGAGAGAGAGAGAGAGAGAGAGAGAGAGAGAGAGAGAGATTTGTTTAGGCAGTTCCGCAATCGGCCTCGCTATAGATATGACCGCCCTCAATTCAAATCAAAATGAGATAATTGCAATTAACTTTTTCTTTGCAAAATCGTTTATACAAGAGATGAAGAATGCAAACCCCAAAAACCCTATTGTTTTGTGTTGATTCATCCACCTCCAAACCCTTGATCGAGTGATCAATAATTCAAATCCAATTCACCAATTTTCCCAAGCACGCAACTTGTTGAAACCCAAGATTTCCGAACATAATTTACTGTCTCACACTACTCTGTTGCAAGGAAACCACCTTGTCCCAAGGTCTTCACTCGGTCGAATCTATATTGACGTGATCTTATCCAAAACCTTCAAACCACACCAATCTTGAAGGAAAACCCCACTTGGCTTTCTTATTTCAAACACACAAAGTTCTCAACCCAATATTCTCGCTTACACCAAACCTAATTGGACGTTATTAACCCTAATCTAGATGGTCACCTAGATGGTCACCGAATCTATGTGTAGTTCAATTGTGTGTAAAGTGATCAAGATGATGGACAACTTTATAATCTGGTTTCATTTAGGTTTTACTCTCTATTACCTTATTAGAAAAAGGTGCATGTATGAGTATATATATATATATATATATATATATATATATATATATATATATATATATATATATATATATATATATATATATATATATATATATATATATATATATATATATATATATATATATATATATATATATATATATATATATATATATATATATATATATATATATATATAAAACTGAAAATAGGCAAAGAGGATGCAGGAAAAATAATATGTAAAAGAAATTTCGCGTTTGAAGTTGCATTGGTCGGCATATGAAAGTAATAGGTCAGCCTATGAAGGTGTTTAGGTCGGCCTATAAGGCGATATGTGGTTAGAGATTTTAACACCAAACTGAGCTCACAAACCTAACCTTCATTTTATACCGGACTAACCAAGAACCTGTGAGATTTTAGAACGGGCTAATCTCGAACTTAAACCAGATTTTATCACGGGTTTAACATAAACCTAAACTTGAGATTTTTTAACAGCCTAACCAAGAACTAATGATATTTTAGCACGGCCTAATCTCGAACATAAACAAACTTTTATCACGGGCTTAGCTGGAACCTAAACGTAGTTTCATCACGGACTATCCAAGAACCTAAACAAAGAGTTAATCACACAATCCCAAACCAAATATTTTTCTGGGTTTATCATTGAAACCAAACAAACAATCCTTAAATGGATAAAATGTTCGACCAAGTTAAAAATAAACTTCCTTAGCGAACTTACAAAACTACTCGTCTAGAGTTACAACTTCCTAACTCGCAAAAGGACTTTCTCTAAAGCACTACAGTTAAACCTTTAGTGAGAAAAAGTAAACAAACAAAATTAGATAGAGTGAGAGTGAGAAATAAAACCACATTTGCAGTTGTGAAAAAGAGTGTGAAGGGACATCTATTTATAGGCAAGAGGTTGACACAAAAAAAGAATAGTTTGTAAATTTTTTTATGAATTTTCAATTGATTGGCAGTATGCATCAATTAATTGGTTGCCTAAACTAAACGGTTAGCAAGTTAAAAATGGAAGAAAAAAATATCTAATCGTTATCTATCATTAAGATGTTCTTCAAATCTCTTAGGGAGCATTTTTGAACTTTTCCATTCAATTGAGAAAAGGTGTCAATCGATTAGCAGAGACAAAAATTTCCCTAGAGTTTTTCTGACAACTCCTAACTTATCTGGCATGACTTCAAGAAATTTTTTAAAATGTTTACTTAATAAAAATAATTTTGAAAACAAGTGTACGTGTGTATGTGCGCGCGTGTGTGTATGCGTCTGCATGTGAGCGTGTGTGCGCGTGCATACTTACGGGGAGAGAGAGAGAGAGAGAGAGAGAGAGAGAGAGAGAGAGAGAGAGAGAGAGAGAGAGAGAGAGAGAGAGAGAGAGAGAGAGAGAGAGAGAGAGAGAGAGAGAGAGAGAGAGAGAGAGAGAGAGAGAGAGAGAGAGAGAGAGAGAGAGAGAGAGAGAGAGATTTATTTAGACAGTTTTCCAATCGGCCTCGATATGGGTACGTATCAAAATCGAATTAAGATGATGAAAATTAAAATTTGCAAATATAGTTTACAAGAAAAAAAATTGCAATCAAACTCTCCAAACCTTATCCTCTGTTCTTAATCATATGTTCTTTTCTCCCCTTGATCATAAGCTCGATCAAGTGACCCAATACCTCCAATTTTATCCTCTAGTTACCGCTACTCCTTGACCGAACCCCTGCTCTTGAAAGTTTTCACTCGGTTGAATTCAAATTGCAAACTATTATAAAAAAATTCCCAAATCTTTTCTTTGATCTTGGAAGAAAACCCAAATAGATTTATCTTGAAACTCCCGAAGAATTTACGACCCAATCCTAATTAGACCTTATCAAACTATAGCTTGATTACACAACAAAAATTATGTTTAGTTGTTGTATGAATGCAATGTGAGAAAATGAAAATGATAAAAATTCTTTGTATCTTTCAAGTTTTAATGAATGTGAAATAATGCATGAATAACTATTTATACGGCTGATTTTTAAAATATTATTAAAAGTATTTTCAACTATATCTAGATTAAAAAAATATTATAAAACTGAAATAAAAATAATACAAATATCTTTTTAAATTTTTTTTAAAACATTTGAAAACACATCTATCAAATGAATTTTTCCCATTTTCTCATCTTCAAAACAGTATTAAAATATAGTATTATCAAACATGTTTACTTATTTTATCTTCAAAACAGTTTTTTTTAATTAATTTATAAAATAATTTTAAAAACTAAACAAAAATTCGTTCAAACAATTTCTAATTCTCTTCACTGTCTCTAAGCTGCACAGTGAAAAAAGAAAGTGCACTTACACTTGATTGGAGAAAAAAAATCAAGGTGTTCAATATACTAAGATATTAAGTTTAGAGTCGCACTGCTCAATTGCTTGCTGATTCTTTTCGATTCATGGAATTTTTAAACATTCCTAACTTTGGTATAAGTGTTTTAAGATAAATTACATTTTCACTGCATGGTAGGAGTCACTGAATAAAATCGTTGTAGGATAACTTCATGGAAGATCATGAGGTTTCTATGATCTGATTTTTCAAAATTTGTGTTACAAAGTCTTGAATCTCATTCATAACTAATCCTAATGCACCACAAGCACGGCTGTGCCTATTATACAAATAAAATCAACTCCAACAACCAAAAAAGACAAGCTTGACAGTCAAATTTACAAGATTTATGTTCCAATGTCAATATAAAATAAAAACAAATCTGGGTATTATCAGAAGTTAACCGATAACTATAATCAACAAAGACCAAGAGAATAAAATTCATCTCCCCAGCAAATGCAAATTAGTCAATTCTCCCATGAAAATAACTTATCATACAAAAAAAAAAAACAAATAGAAACTAATGACAAGAGATTGCAGACAAATTGGCTAGGCAAAAATAAAAAGCTAAATGAATTTTAACTCAAGCATAAGCTTATATGACCCAGTAATTGAAACTGAATCAATACTCCCATTTCTTCACTTCCATGCCTTCTGGAGGACTTCCTTCCACCTTCTTTGATCCCACTTCTTTCCAATCAGTTGATAGCACTGTTCCATTTGATTCCAGCTGCAAAGTCGCGTATTTCAAGGCAAAGAGATAATATGTAAGTGATTACAAAGAAAACTATGCACATGTTTTGGAAACCATGCTAGAAGAATTTACAACAAGCACCAAGTGAATATCTTACAAAAGACTTGCTCATGGCTCTCCTCATGTCCTCATCTGCATTTTGATAAATATCACGGAACAATTTATTCAAAGCAGCATCACCATCAAGCTTTTCTTCTTTCTCCTGAAAATCAGAGTACTATTACGTTATTTTTGAACAAGAATTATGCTCATTGTAACCACGAGATGAAACTGTACCACACAATTGGTTCTTGGTGTATTCAAAATTTTGGCTAAAACAATAAATAGGCTAACATTTAAGATCATCACGTTTAACCTAAATACTATAATTTTGCTCTCCCTACATTTAACAATGTCCTACAGTTTTCAAATTAATGTACACTCCTAACAGTCAATAGCTTGCCATACCATCTCAATGTAGAAAAAGGAAAATGACAAACACAACAACTAATACATTGCAACATTTAGCCAATTCCCGTGCATAACTATTTTGTTGATGAACAGAATAAGAACCGCGTAAAGGAAGTTAATTGCATTACTCAAAACGGCGTTGACCAAATGGACCTTTTATAAATTAGGTGAACCAAAATCATATTAACCCTAAATAATCCCCCTAATAAATAAATGAAAACATAAAATGGGCATGATAGTAAAACCTCTTTTTTCACTTCAGCTTCCAACTTATCCCAATCCTTAGTCCTTGACTTTGATGACGGATATGTCGGCCTTTCAGATTGAACTGCAGAAATACATATTGCAGTAAAGGCCATTATTAGAAAAATGATGACATAATATGCTACCTCCTATTTATTCAATTAGGAATAGCAAAGACAGTGGCAAAAGGAATCATTCTATATCTGATATAACAAACAGAAAACCACACAAGTAATTGGCTCACTTGTAGGCACGCTTATCTTCTGGGGAACCACATCCTTGCAATATTCCAGAGATGTCCAATTAATAGCTTCAGCTTTTGCCAATCGAACTTCTATTTTGGTTGACAACACCAAAACTTTGGACTTAGCCGGGATAATCTGTTTTGGTATAGTTTGTGTTGCCAAAGCACAAATAATATTAATTAAGAATCTTTATCCTGAGTAACAATCAATCTATCGTCTTACTAAAACTGAAATCAAGATAGAACCAGCTGATATGCCAAATACTTCATTTTGAAACTGAAGGCTTAAAAGAAAATATACACAAATTGAAGGAATACATGAAAAGAATGGGTCAATGAAATGCCTTGCTAAATGAACAAGAGAAACCTATCAAAACTCGTAGTCTACAAGTAATATGAATTAGTGGAATTCAAAATGAAATAATTCCATTAAAAATTAAATATTTATAAGAAACACGTGTTTACAATGATACTAAATTAAGAATTCAATTCATTTACAGAGTTTTAGGATTGGAAACCAATACATCCCAAACGAATATGCATTGCAATTTCATTACCATAACTTAAGTGTTTGGAAACAGAGACAACAAAAATTAACCTCAAATACATAAAGATAAAGAAGCATTTTTCATCATGCACTCTTAGAAAATTTTCTATTGTAAGCAATATTCAAGATGTTATTTTTCCAAGCACAGGTAAAATCTTGATATAAAATCACATACCTTTCCAAACAATCGAGGTTGATAAAGATATGCATTTTGGCCAGGAACATTAATGGTAACACTCAGCTGCAATATTATGTACTTAGTAAGTTTTGAGGCATATCTAGAGTGTCATGCATGTGGAATGAAAAATATGAGGAGATCAATTGAGAGTAGGTAAAGGGGGGAGACAAACTAGTATCTCTTAAAAAAACATACAATTTGTTCCCCGAAGTCCACAACAACATTGTCTGCTGGTATTCCTTTAGCAAATATTGTGACAACCACTTCTTCAGGCTTTTGGTAATATTCATGTCTGATCAACCATCAATCAAATAAATAAACGAGTAATTGAACAAGTAATTCCAATATATATTCAAAGATACATATATAAATTCAAGAGAAATAGCTAGTTTCGAGGGGAGGGGATGACTTATGATAAAAAGGAGGGAGGGGGGAAATGCAGAGAAATATCTAAGTGGCTGTATTGGGAAGTATCAAAAAATTTATGAGTTTTGAGGGTGTATTGGGATGTTTTCAGCAATTATTTGGTATTAAGGGTAATCATTTGAGTTTTGAGGGTGTATTGGGATGTTTTCGGCAATTATTTGGTATTAAGGGTGAAAAATAAATTGTGCATGTTAAAGCAAAAAAAATTGTTTAGTGTTGATGAAGCCTAGCAGTTGTTACTCAGTAACCGGATGGCAAACCCGGCCTGCGAAACAGGAAATGTGAGGAAAACAAACAAAACAGCAGAAATGCATGATCCCACCGCTCCTAGTGTAAGCACAGCAACCCCAGTGACCCCACCCAAATCCAAGTTTTCACCTTCCCGAGATCACCAAGCTTCTTCAAGATCACAAGATCTGACAAGTTGGATGACAATTTTGACTACCATGGATTATACAATAATTAGGTATCATAAGAAACATGTTATCTCACCGAATAGATGATAGAAAATAAAATGACAGCCGATATAGATTTAATTTAACTTTTTCCTACAAAGTTTGATGAAATAAGAATAGCAGCATGAACGAAAAAAGAAAAAAAAGAAAAAAAAATCAGACAACCTGTATTTTGGTCTGACTGGTGCAGCTTCATTTGTTTCGGATGCGGGACTGTCTCTTTGAGGTTCTTCGGATGCTCCTGTTCCATCGCCTTTATTACACATATGGGTATCATCAACAGATGGTACAGAAGTTTTGGGCCCATTTGGTGGTAGGATTCCAGTAAGAGTATCTGATTCCTCTGAAAATAAGAGATACCGGACTTGAACATCATGCAAGTGTCAAACAAAAAATATGAAATAAACCAATTCAAAGTGATAAAGCAAGAGATCCGCAAAAGAAAAATTGACAAGAAAGAATAACAAACTCAATTTAGCAATCATAAAATTTACTAGCCGTCAATGGCTAACAAACTCAATTTAGCAATCATAAAATTTACTAGCCGTCAAAGGCTATCAAAAAACCTTTTCGCATATCATCTACAGTGTGTGAATATCAGGTTGTATGAACAAGTTAGCGTTTTAGCACATAGAATGTCAGTTTCTTCCTTACTCATTCTCATTTATTATGCAACACAAAGTCCTATAAGCAAATTTTGAAGTGTTGTGATCATCTTAGTATCTAATAAAAAATTTAAAATGCAGTTATAGATGCACAGAAACCCTTAATATTTAGAATTTTGCAAGACAAAATGTGGTGGCAATTTCCATAAAGAACCCCGAAAAACCTTTACACCATCCTTATCTTGAAAATTTTGTAGTAAAAAATGCAGGTGCAATTTCGGTAAAGAAAACCCTAAAACCCTTGACACTGAAGACAACTGCAGCTGCGGACTGCAATTTAACATTGTGAATCCAATACATATATGTCTTATTGTGTTGTATAGTGAAGAGTCAAATCCCGCCATACTAGTCAAAATCCCATCACAGCGGTTCCCAATTTATAGCAGAAAAAATTGCAGTATGGGCTGACATTGCGGCTAATCCAATAACTGCCACTCATATGCCACCACTGATTTCTTGTACAGAATATTCAATTTTCAATATAGGCATGACAAAAATAAACTTTATACTTTATTCCCTTCAGCAATTAAACTGATTCAGCCAATTTCCCTAATCAACCACAACACATTAACATACACTTCCAACAAAAACTTAGAAAAATCAATAAGCAAAACCCATAGAGAATATTAATGTTATGAATACGCTCTAACCAGCAATGTAGCGTTCACATTGTTGAATCAAATTGGTAAACCTGGAATCTTCAGGTGCAATCAAAGCACCCTTTTCAAGTGCTACCTTAGCAGTATGATATTCTTCAAGATTAATACAAGCAGTCCTACAAATACAATCCATACAATTCAATTTAAGAACATGACAAAGAAACAATTTCAAAATTAACCTAAATTCAAAAATCAACTTGAATTTCATACATACCCCTTGCGGATATAAGCCTTTGATAAAGTAGGGTTTAATTGAATAGCCTTATTAGCATCAGAAACAGCTTCTGCACAACAAAGAACAGTTATTAAGTGAATGAATGCGATAAGAAAACAAAGGAGAAAGAGAAAGAAAGGGTTTTGGTTTAGGTTTTGGACCAGTGAAAGCGTTGAGTTTGATATGTGCTTGAGCTCTGTCGGCGAAGAGATTTGCGTTGGCAGGATCGAGTTCTATGGCCTGAGAATAGAGATCAACGGCTAGAGAAAAATCGTCATCGAAGAACGCTTCCTTGGCTTTGATCTCAAGCTCTTTCGCCATCTCTAATTTTCTTCTTCTTCAAATCCCTTTCTTCACTGGTTCGTTGAAACTTGACGTGTTAGTGCCACTACTCTATTATTATATAGATTCTCTCAAAAATAAATTGTCGCTAATTTCTAGATCCTTCTATCTTCTTTTGGTTTTTTTCATCACTTTTTATTTGATAAAATCATATTATATAATTTTTTTCATGTATTATCTTTTATGAACACCTTATTATTTTATTTTATAAGATCTATTATTTATTTATTTTTAAATTTTCACTCTATTGTTAAAGTATAACCTCCCATCCGTCTTTTCCTCTATTTATTTTTTATCCATTAGATCTGATTTTAGATTTTCGTTTTCCTTTTGTAAAGAATTTTTTAAAAAAAATCCAAATCCTTCAAATTAATTTTATTGTTATTGAGCAAATTTGAATCGATCCGTGACAAGATAACTTATTTGATTATAAAAATTGAATAGCATTTATATATTTATTTTTATTTATTTAAATTTTGTAAATTATCTAGTCTAATATATAAAACTTAATCTCATAGTTTTAAATATTTGACTAAACTATTATTTTGGTTTTTTATTTTATTTGATTCACAAAATTAATTTTTTATTTTAAATTTAAATAATAATTTTTGTCTCAATTTTTTAATAAAAAATCTATGCAATTTGTCTTTTACAAACAGAGCACCTTGCAAAAGTTTCGACTGTATAAACGACATAATTAAAAGAATCACCCTGCAAGGCAGCATTAATCTTAGTACAAACAGAGCAAACGTTAATGTCAGTACATAAATCGCAAGAGCTTATCATCATAATCTAATAAAGATGGAAAATCAGATAACAACTCAGGATAAATATCATCAACTAAATCAAATAATAACTCTTTTGGATTCACTACTGTTTGGGCGGGTGGTTGGTTTGATACTTGAGCTTGCTGCATGGCATTTACTATATTGGTCAGCTGTCCAATCTGTGTCTGCAAAGTCTGAAGAGTGGAATCTGTTTGTTGCTGAAACTGGAGATCATTCATAGCTATTTGCTTGACAATGTCCTCTAATGAAGGTTCAGAAGGTGTAGAGCACACAATTTGGAATTCATTCATATGTTTATTCGAATCCTCACCTGCAAGTCCATTAAACCTTGACAACAAGTGTATTAAACCAAATTTTAATTCAAAAGGAACAGCAACATCATCGTATTCAATACACAAGCCATTATAATTCACATCAGGGGCAGCCAATTGCCTTAAGGTTCTATTATCAGCCATTTCAAAATCAAGTTCAGTATCCGAAGCAAACAAGTTATGCAGATAGTCAGACACAGACTCAAACACAATGATGGAAAACGATTAATTAAATTTTAGAAAAATAAAATAACACCAGAATTAAGCTATTAAGCAAAATAACACTTATGAGAATTTTTTCGATTTTTTTCGACTCTATGAAAATAGTAAAAAATTCATAAAAAATAGAAAAAAGGATTTTTTGGCGATTCTGAGGGTGGATTCCAAGTATTCTTACTAGGATTAATGACCGGACGATTTTTCTGCTTCTCGTAGGCAAAACAGTTTTACGATCGGACACAATTTTTCCAAAAATCAATTTTTTCGACTCTAGACACGAGAAGGCCAAAAACGTGGGGAACCTAGGGCCTAAGCGCAACAACGCTAAACCTATGACTCTAATATCGATTAATAACGACAATAATCCCCGGCAACGGTGCCAATTTGATCCGCTGTCGCGCGCGGATCAAAACAAGTATTTTTGTAAAAATGCAGTACATCGACAGTAACTCGGAAAATCGTTCTCAAGGATTCTTGTAGGAATAACTAATTACAGTAATGAAATATGGGGGGTTTGTTTGGTTTAGGATCGATTAAACAACGAGGTTGCAATTAAGCGGTTAAAATAAGTGATTATCAAAATAAGTCAATCCACTATTTTCGGTTCCGGCTTATCACGGGTTTCTACCTTACCAATTTCCTAAGCGGCTTCGATCTCTATTTGATTCCTATGTCAATTGACAAGCGCAAAAGACATAAACTAGATTGACAATCCTATATTCCGAATTAAGCAAACGGATTAAGCTTTCGTGAATTAAGCAAACACGAATTAACGACAAAGCGACGTAACGGAAATAAAAGTTAAGGACGCAATCATACGAATTTAATCAAAGACAATTCTATAAACTAACATATTAAGCAAATACAATACATAGAATAGTATTGAAAGAGAAACGAATTAAATTGATAAAGTATAAACCTTAAAGCGTTGGAACGCGATTACAGCAGATTGACTCTTAGGAATTAGTTCTCCATTCGAATCGTACAAGCTTCCAAATATTTTCGTGAAGAGACCTTTTGGGATATAAAGGCCTACCAATCCAAGGATTTCCCTTGGGATTTGTTAACTGTCACGGCGTAGGACACAATGATTGAAAACTGTCTTCTGTTTAGTTTGAAAGGCTAGGGTGATTGGGATGATGACATATCCATTCGTGGAATGTATATGACTTTTTCCACCCATAATTTCAGCCTCAACAACATGGTTATTTTTTCTCTCTATTTATTTTTTATCCCTTTGATTCACTTGTTTTATTAGTTAGATCTAATTTTAGATTTTATTATTTTATTCAATACAAAAGTTTAAAATTCAATTCAAATAATTAAATTTAATTTGAATGCACCTGTATAATTTTACATCATTAAGAAATATTTGAATTGATCTGTAACAAGATAACTTATTTGATTATAACAAGTTGAATAACATTTTATCTTTATTTTTATATATATTTAGATTTTTAAATCTCTAGTCTAATATACAAAATCCTAATGCTGTAATTTTAAAGTCCAGTGCCAAAATACTAAGACTGCATTTCAATATGCAATAAATATTTTTTAAAACATTTTTCAATATGATATATTTTTTAAAAGCAAGGATGCTTGGAAGCACCTTGAATCGGGTGGCATTATGGCTAAATCGGTTGGTTCATATATTTGGAAGACTATTGTAGATCTTCGGCATTCTCTTGATGTGATGGCCTACTTGGAAGTTGGCAATGGAGCCACCATAAAATTTGGGAATGAAGCTTGGACTGCTCCAGGGCTGTTACTTAAGGAGCAAACGTAACAGCCGATGAATAATCTTTTTTAGAAGCATTTTGTTGTTGATTTTCGAAGTAGCGATGGAAATTGGAATTGACCCCTTCTGCGAAATCTTCTCCCCCAAGTTGTGTTAGAGAGAATTAAAGTGATCCCTCCTCTATTATGGAGGTTTCTACTCCTGATTTATGCCTTTAGAGTGGAACTCACACAGGAAAGTTCACCATCTCCATCATGTTTAATACCATATCCCATAACTCTAATGATGAAGTTAATGTCAGATGGGAAAATATGTGGCTGATTCAAGCTCCGAAAAAGGGTTCGTGTTTTCATCTAGAAAATAAGCCACAAAGGGCTTGTAACTAATGACTTTCTGCGCCATTTTCAGTCGTGCAATAATAATTGTGACATTTGTGGATCGGTTTCAGATTCTATTCTTCACTCCCTCCGCGGTTGCACCTTTCCAAAATCCTTTTGGAATGCAGTGGTAAGTCATTCTTTTAAAAATCAATTCTTCCCCTGCTTGCATCTTGTCTAAATTGATGAGAACTTAACCCGAAAATTGTCGCAAATGAATATTGATTGGCATGTCTTATGGGCTTTTGGTTGTCATCGATTATGGTCTTAGAGGAATAAAATTTTGCATGACCCTCATTATGTTTTGCCTTCTAATATGGTGTTTGAGGTGCGTAAGGATGCGGCGTTATACCAGAGTAGCAAAGGGTATTCTAGCATATTGTAGCTTGCGCCGTTAGTTCTGAAAATTACCACCTGGTGTCCTCCTTCTATGGGGTGGGTTTGCCTCAATTACGATGGAGTTTGTATTGAGTAGCGTTGTGGCCAAATATGGTGGGTTATTTCGTGGTAATCACAACAATTGGCTTGGAGAATTCCACAAACAAACTGGTATCTGCAGCAGTACTCTTGCAGAATTTTGGGGTGTGTTTACAGATTTGAAGTTTGCTTTGAAAAAAGGTTTTAAGAAGCTCTTGGTTCAAACAGATAATTCTAATGTTGTCTCTAGTCTCCTTAGTAAGTCTCCGATCCAACATCAAAGGGCTTCCATGACAAGGCATATTTGTCAGCTTCTTCATTTGTTCAAAGCAGTTTATTTTAAGCATATAGCTAATCAATGCGTCGACTACCTTACTAAGTTGTCTGTGCATAGTTGAGAGTGATTGTGTTTTGTTAGATTCTTGCCCGGTTGGTTTAAGGAGTGCCCTTAGTTTGGATAAGCCGTTTGTTTCTGCTCGATGTATTGTCTAGTTGCGTTTTGTTTGGGCCTTTGGCCCTCCTTGTATATAAAAAAAAATTCACTCTATTATTATAGTATAACCTCCCATTCTTCATCTTTCTATTTATTTTTTATCCATGCGAGTCATTTGTTTTATTAGTAAGATCTGATTTTAGATTTTATCATTTTATTCAATAAAAAAGTTTTAAATCAATTCAAATAATTTAAATTTAATTTGAATGCAAGTGTATAATTTTATATTATTAAGCAATATTTGAATTGACATGTAACAAGATAACTTATTTGATTATAAGAATTTGAATACCATATTTATCTTTACTTTTATATATTTAATTAAATCTCTAGTCTAATATACAAATCCTTAATGTCATAATCTTAAAATGGTAGTGCCAAAATATTAAGACTACATGTCAAATTTTTTATTGTATGTGTAGATACGAGACTATATGATTGAAGGAAGATTTATTTTCAACCTCTGGTTCTAAGGGAAATCACTTGTTTAGTTTCACTTTTCTCTTTGTATTTTCTATTTGTTGGGGGTATTGTATGTAAGTTTATCTTGATTGTATGTATATTTATTGATCGTTGTATAAAATCTCTTTTACAAATCTTTATCGATGTTATCTTTGATTTCAATATTTATCTTAATAGGTTTGGATTACTATAGACATATACGGTTCGAAATCGATATAAGATGAACATTTGTTAGATTTTAAACTCTAGATATAGATTTAGGTCTAATATTCACAGTGGGTATCAGTTCTTAATGTTTTGTGTTGTTGAGTTGCTTGAGACATCACCGGTGATCCAATACGATTATTCTCTCAACTTTACGTTAGACATAACCTCTGTTGTGGGTGATAGGTGAGGACATTGATGAGTGATTTAGGTTGCGTACAACTGATTGATAAAAATTTTAGTATTTTATGGATAGATGATATCCAATCCCGACGAGTTCTCTCTTTTCTAAAGAATGCATTATTTACTTGTTCATATGTTTTACTTTCCGCTTTTTACTCTTTTAAAATCATTCAAACCAAACTTAGAAACATAGAGACCGTCGAACAACATTCTTCCCCCCGCTCTGATCCTTATGGAGACAACAAATCCAGAAATTTTTCCAAACTTAATTTTTGCATACCGCTTTACCGTTTCAACACCAACTGAGGTACAATGATTGAAAATAGCCGTCGACCACAAGAATAGTTGGTTGTGACATCCGAGATTTGGTCATCTTGACTTTAGGTCGCTCAATCAACTGACCACTCGAGATATTGTAACTGGTATACCTAGTCTTGAGATGCCTGACAAACTTTGTGAAGGTTGTCTAGTCGAAAAGCAGTCCAAGAAGTCTTTTGTTTCGACTATTCCAGTGAGATCATCCTGCATACTTGAAGTTGTACATTCAAATGTATGTGATCCTTTTGAAGAGCATACCATTGGTGGAAACAAGTATTTCGTCTCATATGTCTATGAGTACAGTCGAGAGCTCTAGATCTATGTGATCAACAAAAGGATGAAGTATTCGAAATTATTAAGAGATTCAAGATACTTATCGAAAACTAAAGTGAAAAAAAGATCAAAGTTCTGCGAACAGATGAATGTGGCGAATACACATCCAAGATATTTGAAGCATTATGGGAAGATCATGATGTTAATCATGAGGTAATTGCTCCTTATACTCCTCAACATAATGGAATAGCAGAAAGAAGAAACAAGACCATATTGGACATGGTGAGATGCATGTTGAAGTAGAAGAATTTGCCCAAGACCTTATGGGGAGAAGCTGTTTCAGCTGCTATTTATATTATGAATAGGTTCCCTATCAATAAGCTGAAGAACAAGGTTCCTGAACAAGTGTGGAGTAGAAAACGACCATCAGTGAGTCATCTAAAGGTGTTTGGCTTTATTTACTACAAGCATGTTCCTGATGCAAGAAGAAGGAAGCTTGATGACAGGAGTGAACCTATGATTCTGGTAGGATATCATAAGATTGAAGCATACAAGCTATTAAATCCAATGAACAAGAAGATCATGATGAGTCGAGACATTGTGGTTGATGAGAACTCTGCATGGAATTGGAATTCTGGTGATCCAATTAACAAGCCATTGATGAGTTATGATTTCGACGAAGCAAGTAATGATGTCAAAGTCGAAGATATTATCGATATTCTAATTGAAGTCGAAGTTGTTGCTGACATACCCCACACAACCGAAGTCGAAGAGGATACGGCTGGAACAAGCCAGAGACCTAAAAGAACTAGAGCTCGTCCAACAAGACTTCAAGACTATGAAGTGATTGGTGATGATGAAGTCACACAAGATGGAGAACTAGTTCAATTTTCTTTACTTACAGGTGTTGAACCAATAAACTATATTGAAGCCTTCAAAGATAAACAATGAAAGTCTGATATGGTGGAAGAGTTACAAGCAATCTAAAGAAATAACACATGGGAGTTGGTCGAATTACTAGCACATACAAAAGCTACCGAAGTGAAGTGGGTGTTCAAGTTGAAGCACAATGTTGATCGGTCAATAACAAGACATAATGCGATATTGGTAGCTCAATTATTTCTTCAGAGAGATGGACTCGACTACTCTGAAATATTTGTACCTGTCGTAATATTGGAGGTTTTTCGACATTTCATTTAGATGTGAAATCTAGATTTTGAATGGACCTTTAGATGAAGAGGTGTATGTCACACAACCTCCTGGATTTGTGATTCAGGAGGAGTAAATTCAGGAGGAGTCAAGGAAAGTATACAAGTTGCACAAAGCGCTCTATGGTCTCAAGCAGGCACCTAGGGCATGGAACAAGAAGTTCGACTCATAATTGGTCAAATTGGGATTCGTCAAATACAAATCGGAGTATGGTGTCTATGTTCAAGTTGTGGCACAAGATATAACAATCAATTTCTTATGTGTCAATGACTTGTTAGTAACTAGAAGTAGCTTGGAGAACTTGTCAAAATTCAAAGAGCTGATGAAAAAGGATTTGAAATGTTGGATCTAAGAAAGTTGTCGTACTTCCTAGCATGGAATTTCAAATTTTGAAATAAGGTATGATGCTACATCAAATAAAGTATGTCAAAGAGATACTCAAGAAATTTAGAATGGATGATTCGACTCCTGTATCTTCGCCTATCGAACCAAATTTGAAGTTGGAGAAACATGGAGAGGAAGACAACGTCAATGCGACTTTGTTCAAACAGATTGTCAGATCTCTGAGATATGTGTGCAACAGTCGACCTGATATATGTTTAACACTCGAATCAGTGAGCAGATATATGAGTGAACCAACAGTGTCACACAAGAAAGCTATAAGAAGAATACTGAGATACTTTAAAGGAATGACAAACTATGAAATTTTATTTTGACGAGACTCTGTAAGCAAATAAGATATGCTTAATTGTTATTCAGATGTTGATTGGTGTGGAGATAAGGAAAATCGATGAAGCACTACTGGATATTTTTTTTCAAGTATTTGGTGCCACAATCTCACGGTGCTAAAAAAAGCAACCTGTGGTGGCATTGTCATCGTGTGAGACTGAATATATAGCAGGATCCTATGCTGTCTGTCAAACAATATTGATCAAATCTGTGCTTGAAGAAATGGAGGTCGAAGTGAAGAAATCCCAAGTACTGCAGACAACAAGTCAGCCATAAATCTGGTGAAGAATACAATTTTGCATGGAAGAAGTAAGCACATTGAAACTAGATTTCACTTTTTAAGAAAGGAGGTGAATAGAGGTGATCAGGGTCTCGTTTCAAAAAAGTATTATCAACATTGAACATCAGTATAATACTTCATCTTATACCAACTTGTATGATTTTGTTTCAAGACAGTGTATACAACACATTGGAAAGTAACTAGAAAGAGTAAAATTTGTTGGAGCAAGCAAATTAAGTAAGATATTGCTCAAGTGAAGTACAATTAACTGACATTTTTACGAAAGGATTAAAGACCAACAAGTTCCTAATGTTGAGAAAGAAATTAGAAATAGTTCAGATCGACAATGATTAGTGTGCTTCAACAACTTGAATTATAAGAATTGAGATATTATGTATAATTCAAGTTGAATTATGTGGGGCAAGTCCAAAGCTAATTAGTATTTAAGGATTTGCTATTAATTTGTTATTTTACTTAAGGGAAATGCTAACGAGTGCCCTCTGGTTAAGAGATTAAAATGGTAAGTTGGGCATTATTTAAGAGATTGAAAATACATTTTTTTTTAAAAATATGTGTATTCAATGCCCTGAAAAGAGAAATAATCAGACTTTTCAAAAAATATTGTGTGTATTGAGTGAACTAAATATAACATATTTTTCTTATTTGAAATTCTTAACTAGTGTCCTGAGGGCACTGATTAACATGACCCTTTACTTAATAATGAATCACTTAAATGTATATAAATAGATATTTTATAATTCAATTTTATTTATTTAAATAATATCAATCCTTATTTTTTTTATTCCCTCACTAACACACCTTTTTTTTTTCTTAAAATAGATGAATATTTGAGGATAAAAGTTTAAATTTTAAACTTGGAAGAAATTTAAACATAGGTATAAAAGTGAGTTAGTTAATACTTTTGGGAATATAACTCACACGCCATCTGGAAAAATTTCTGCTAAATAATTGCCGTTTCTGTATGCCGTTAAACGGCATGTCGTTATGTTTTGATATAAAACTATCCCGCATTCGGTTTTGCGCGCCAAATCATAACGAAATCAAAATTTGAGAAATCATTTCACTCTCTCTAATGGAAGATCTCCGAAATTCGACATTAAAGTTTTTCACCGATCAAGAGCTTTGTTATGCTGATATCGTTCCTCCGGCTCAGGTAATAATACTCTTTCACAGTTTCAACATCGCATCCGCTTTCTAACTTCTCTTTTATAAGCTTCACTTTCATTTTGATTCATGCAGGTTCGAGCAAGAATTGAAGTGTCAGTGCTCAGTTTCCTCAAAATATTGAATGCATCTACCCCTGCAATCTCTGATTTGCCTTTGGTATTCTCATTATCTTTATATCCATATATTTGCAATTTTGGTCGATGTTGCGACACTAATTGCTAGCGTCGCTGTGTGAATTAACCACAATTTGTTCGTTAATATATAAAAATTGTGAATAACGGTATTGGTATCTGCACTGTTTTGTTGAGGCTGCCTTCGTGGTAGCTGACCATTTTTTAAAACCTTGATATCCATGTATTTGATTGTAATGATTTGCTAATTAATCGTTCTAGGTCAATAACTTCAATCAATGATTTTCTCTCCAATTAGCAAGTAGCAATTTATTCTTTATTTATTTCACAATGATTTTTAATTTTTGTTGTCTTGTTTTGCTATTAACACACACACTGTCCTGGTTGTAGTCTATCACTCTTAGAAATGAATATATTCAAAGAAAATTGAGCAACATTTGAGTGAATCATCTCCTGTTAATTGAATCATTGTATGTTTTTCTGTTAAACTCTCTATCTACAAGGTGTCTAATGAGACCTAATGCAGCAAAAGCCGGTTGTAACAATTTGTAACAGTTTGGAATTCACGTGAAGCATTTTTATTTTGATTTATTTCATATTAATTTTTTTGGGTTGTTTTGTTATCAACATACGCATATTCCTGATTGTAGCTTATTACTCCTAAAAATGGACAGATTCAAAGAAAATTGAGCAACAGTCGGGTGAATCATGGTCTGTTAACCAAATTATCATATGTTTTTCTCTCCAATTCTGTGTCTATAAGGTCGCTTATGAGACCTAATGCAGGAAAAGCCTTTGTTAGGGGTAAAGACTAAAAACCTAGTTTTCTTTTGTTTTTTGTTTTTCTTTACTTATTTATTCTTCCAATAATTTTTGCTGTTTCTGAGTTGGAAATTTCTTACGTGTAGTGTGGAAGGTGATGGAAATGTGCTATCAGATATTGCTTCAGGAAAAGCGTGTCACACAGAGAGAACTCTTCTACAAACTGTTATGTGATTCACCACATCTGTTTCCTTCTCAAAAGGATGTCAATAGGACAATCCAAGGTTATCTATAATCAGTTAATCACTGTCTTGTTTGTTACAAGTTTGATTTGATGTCTTAGTGCTTTTGAAAAGGCTTGCTAATATGCGCCAAAACAGATCTTGTAGCGTTGCTTCGGTGCAGCAGATACAGTCTTGGAATCATGGCATCTAGTCGCGGACTCATTGCTGGCCGTCTGATTATGCAGGTACTTTATGAACCCTTCATTCAAGGATATTGCATTGTAATTGCTTTTTTATTTGAGTTAATCTACGGCATAAACAGTTGTAACATTGTTTGGGAAAACTTAACATGTTCATTCCATGATGAAAGTTTATGAAAACAACTTATAACTTAAATGAAAACAGATTGACTTTATTTCATATTTTATTATAGAAATTACTTATACATAAACACTTATTTATAAATGCTTAAGGTATGAGTGCTTAATAAAATTGTTTATCCAATCAAGGCCATTGTAAATGGAGTAGAGACATGTTCTGTATCACTGCTTGATGCAATTCTGCAAATTTAAACATTAACCACTTTGAGTTTACAATTTTATAAGTATAGGAACCAGGCAAAGAGGCTGTTGATTGCTCAGTGTGTGGATCCTCTGGACATACAATTTCTGGTGACTTGAGTTTGTTAGATAAATTGATTCTAAATGCAGACGCACGGTACATTATCATTGTGGAAAAGGTGAGTTTGTTTGAGGTAATTCAATTTATTCATGTTTCTTTTTTTGGTTACCTATTACATCACACTGCTTTGAATTTGAAAAGTTCCACATTTTGCCTAACAAAGAAAATGTTTTAATACAATATATAACCCTTGCTTTTGTTTAGCATGCAATATTTCAACGGCTTGCTGAAGATAGGTTTTTTAATCAAATTCCAAGCATTCTTATCACGGCTAAAGGCTACCCAGATATGGCCACAAGGTACTCTACTCTGCACACTAGTCGGCGGTGTAAAGAATCAAATTACATAAAAACTTTGATGTGATGCTTTTAGAAGTTCTGCTCTCATAACATTGGATAATAGACCAATATCAATATCAATATCATAAATAGTAGTCTTACCCTTCTGATGGGTTTTTTTTGTCTTGTTTTTTGATAAGCTACCCTTTGATGGGTGCTTTAATGTCTAAAACTGAAATTTAAATGCAGGTTTCTTCTTCATCGAATCAGTAGAGCATTTCCAGACTTGCCAATTTTAGCTTTGGTGGATTGGTACAATTGCTTGCCCTTGTTCTGAATTACAACTTTATTCCGCAATGATAAACAGACACTACCTTTTCCTTTTCTTGTTAAAATGTTCTTCATAATTCGTACCTTAACTCCTTTCTCACATTTAAACTTATAAAGGAATCCAGCCGGATTAGCTATACTATGCACATTCAAATTTGGAAGTGTAGGAATGGGCCTAGAGTCATATAGATACGGTAATTTGATAAGATCATTATATCACAAAGCACAAGAGCTCTAATATGTTGGAATGAACTAACAAACAAATGTGTTGTATTCAAATTTACCCTTGAGGAATGTTTTTCTTTGCATTATTTAGCTTGCAATGTCAAGTGGTTAGGACTGCGGGGGCACGATCTACCCATGCTTCCTGATCAATCTTTCGTTCCATTGAAGACAAAGGACCTACAAATTGCTCAAAGCTTAATGTCTTCCAAAATCATACAGGTAAACCATTTGGAAACACTGAATGCAGCCCTTGCTATCCTCATCCTGCAGGCCTGATCTCTGATTTTTGCTCATCACTTTCTTGCTTTTGCTGACCCGCCGTAATTAAGGTCTTTGACCTCCCAATAGGCCCCTCAAATTATCCACACGGCTTAGGACCTTTGGACACACTACGAGACTAATCCTCAAATTGAGACATTTGTTTCTATTGTTTTTATACGGAGTTCGACTGTCTCCCAAATGGACAACTCCAAAACTTGAAAAGTCTTTTACTAGTATGTTACCAACTCTTCCAACACCATGTTGGTTTTGCTCACTTTCAGTTACATATTGTAGGCTGTTATGATGTTATACCTTATGGTAGATTCTACATGTGTTATGCACTCTTAGACTAGACGCTTTTGCAAGCAATGTTATGAATTAGTTAATCCTTGTTAGACTTGCTTACTATACAAGTTAGTTGGTTAGAAAAACAGTTTCAATTTCTGTTTTGTTTGCAAGTGAGAGTTAAGAATCACATTAGCCATTCGATATCGGACTACCGATCGTAATGTTCATAAATAGCTTGGGATAAATTCAATGAAGTGTATCTGCACAAGTCTATATTCACTTTTGTGAATTCTCCTCTTTTCTATCTTGATATTTACACCATTCTTCGTAGGAGTTGTGAGCGAAGCAACAAGATATCCATTCTTTTTCCCACATGAAACACATTTGCACAAGAATTGTATATTATATTCGTACCTGCACAGTGCATAAGAACCAGTCTATATATGAACATTATGCTTTCAGAATATGCTCTGCAATTGAAGGTTTTTCCTCACAAATTAACGAAATGGTGCTTAACAGGAGAATTACAAGGAAGAGGTTGCCTTGATGGTTCAGAGCGGCAGGAGAGCTGAAATAGAAGCCCTATACTTTCATGGATATGATTATTTAGGGAAGTACATAGCTAAGAAAATTGTACAGTCCGATTATATATAATTTGTACACAATAGTATAGCTACAAAATGTATCATAAAATATAATACTATATATCTTTGAATTTTTCAAACCTGAAAAGCTATACAATTTAATGTTCCTAATTAATAAAAAAATATTTTCATGATGATTTACACCATTTTTTTGGTTTATTTCAATTTTTATGTGAATTTTAAAATTAAACTTCAATATGTTCTGTATTAGACAGATTAGACTAAGTTATATAATTCATGTCACTAAACAAAGTTATATAATTCATGTAATTTCCTTTTCTTATTTGCTATTGCCGGGGCCAAAACTTCTTTGTATACGCCAAATTTCCACTTTTTTTTTTGTGTCCTTAACCATCCAGTTCTTAGAAGACGGAGTTCTCGTAATCTAAAGTTAAGTGATTAAGTAAGTAAAGTGGACAAATTATTATTTTAATTAGAATTCAAACTATATTTTAGTAATCATTTTTATTGAAGAATTTTATTTCTACATTCTATCTATTTTAAAGTTCTAATGCAAAATTAATTATCTTTTTGTTAATGATATATTTAGAATAAGACGACGACAATAATAATAATAATAATAATAATAATATTTAAGAGATGGTTAAAATGACAATTAAAAAAGTAACATGCAATGACTATTTATCATAATCTATAACACCACTTTTCTGGATGAAAAGTTGATATTCATAAAACAGAAAGTTAATCATAGTAGTCTTGAAGCATCACTAACATGTAAAACAATATACATGCATGTGACGTTCAAGGGGGAATGGCCATTGTTATATATGAATATAATGACTAGAACACGTCAAGTTATCTTCCATTCCATACTTTATAATCTTTCTCCTACACATGCACTACTTTGTACATTCCTATTCTATTTGAGGTTGTAGCTCTAAAGCATAGGTACTACTAAAATGGTGAAATATCGGTACTCGTATCGTATTCGTGATACTTCATTTTTTTTTCATTATCCGATTTTAAATGAAATTTGTGATTTTTTTTCAATTATTAATATAGTATATTCATTAGTTAAAATTATTTTTATTGTATTTTAAAATTATTTTTTATTATTTCAAATTTTTATAAAGAAATTTTGTTATGAACCTAATAATTTAGTTTTCTACTCGTACATTTTATACAAAATTCTTATTCCTTATATAATGACTATAACGCGTCAAGTTATCCTCTATTCCATATTTTATAATCTTTCTCCTACACATGCACTACTTTGTACATTCCTATTCTATTTGAGGTACTAGCTCTAAAGCATGGGTACTACTGAAATGGTGAAGTATCCGTACCGAGTACGCACCTGTATCGGATACTCGTATCGTACTCGTGATACTTCATTTTTTTCTCATTATTCGATTTTAAATAAAATTTGTGATTTTTTCAATTATTAATATAGTATATTTTTGTGTTAAAATTTTTTTTATTGTATTTTAAAATTATTTTTTATTTTTTCAAATTTTTATAGAGAAATTTTGGTATAAACCTAATAATTTAGTTTTCTACTCATACATTTTATACAAAATTCTTATTCCTTATTAATGTATCCATACTTTGATTTTTTAAAACTGTATGATTCCATACCGCTAGGGGTACGGTACCCGGTACCTATGCATCATAGGGTAGTAGTAGTTAGGCATAGTTAGGCAACGACCATGCTTTTTCTCTATTATAAATATTAGCAAGTTTAGCTGAATATGCATATTCTGAGTTAGAAACTTATAAGAAAACCATCATGGGGTGCTGTTTGTTGATCAATGGTTTGATCTTGTTGATTGCCATGAGTAGTCAGAATGGATTATTAGCCATGATGGATGATGAATTAATTAGTATAAATTCCTCAGCTAATTATAACTATGCAGATGCTCTTGACAAAGCCATCTTGTTTTTTGAAGGACAACGCTCAGGGAAGTTGCCTAAAGACCAAAGAGTGAAGTGGAGGGGAGATTCTGCACTCTCTGATGGCAAGTCTCAAAATGTATATATATGTAACATGACATAAAATTTACAATTTTATATCCATAATTATATAGTTAGAAAGGCTTTGAATTAAGTTTTGCATGCAGCTTAATATGTGTGTTTTCTCGTATATAAATTCTGTATGAACGATAATTTGGCAGGTGAATTTGGTTGGAGGATACTACGATGCTGGTGATAATGTGAAGTTTGGATGGCCGATGTCATTTACTGTAAGCTTATTGAGTTGGGCTGCAATTGAATATGAAAGTGAGATTTCTTCGGCGAAACAACTTAATTACCTTCACAGTGCTATTCGCTGGGGCACAGATTTCATACTACAAGCTCACACTTCTCCAACGACACTTATTACACAGGCATGCTTCTATATATCATATGATAATTAAGTACTTACATGAAAAATTTAAATATATGGTGTCAAGTTGTTTCATGATTGCTAGGTGGGAGATGGAAACGCAGATCATAATTGTTGGGAGCGTCCAGAGGACATGGATACACCGAGAACAACGTACAAGATTGATGCTAATTCTCCTGGAACTGAAGCTGCGGCTGAGGCTGCTGCCGCTCTTTCTGCTGCTTCAATTGTCTTTAAGAAAATAGATATCAATTATTCATCCAAACTATTAAGCCAGTCAAAATCTGTAAGCAACTCAAAGAACATGTTTTATTTTCATTCATGAATTATGATGATCAATTGGGTCTACGATCCATATTTATCAGGTGTTGATAATAATATATCCACTTTGATTATATATTTAGTTTAACAAAGTTAACTAATGTTTTACCAATGTTTCCCAGCTATTTGATTTTGCTGACAAGTATAAAGGCACTTACTCTACTTCTTGCCCATTTTACTGCTCATACTCTGGTTACAAGGTAAAATATTGTTGCTAGTAGAAAAGATAACATTTAAAGACTAATAACTAAATTTTCATAGACTATTTATTTATGACCTTGAATTCTAAATTGTGTACAAAAAGGATGAACTGTTATGGGCTGCTTCTTGGCTGCACAAAGCCAGTGGAGACAGCAAATACTTACAATATATCATAAACAACCAAGGTTGGAGTCAGGCAGTATCTGAGTTCAGCTGGGATAACAAATTTGTTGGAGCTCAAACATTACTGACGCAGGTCTTTATATTCATAAAAAAAATTGCATTTTTTTAGTAAACATTGTGCAAAAGTAAAATAATCAACTTGTTAATTCTAATTGTTTTTCTCCAGGAGTTCTATGGCGGAAAGAAGGACTTAGCCAAAATTCAAAGTGACGGTGTATCATTCATATGTGCATTGATGCCAGGAAGTAGCTCTAAACAGATCCAAACAACTCCTGGTATATAGGTACATATATTATATCTAATAATTCATATATGCATTGATGCTGAATTAGCCTATTATTTATTGTTAATTCAGGTGGGCTTCTATATATTCGAGATAGTAGTAATTTGCAATATACCACTACCTCAACCATGGTGCTATTCATTTTCTCCAAAATCTTAAACAATAATCATATTGATGGAATCCACTGTGGCTCTGCCAAAATTTCCCCCTCTGAGATTAGAGCCTTTGCAAAATCACAGGTATATTATTTTATATTAAGGTGAGTTATTGATTTCTTAATTTTGGTTCATAACTAAAATTTGAATGTCTACATTACATTACATAGGTGGACTACATACTAGGAAACAATCCTATGAAGATGTCATACATGGTGGGATATGGGAGTAAATATCCAAAGCAACTACATCACAGAGGTTCTTCCATTCCTTCGATCATCGCTCACCCGGCTAAAGTGGGTTGCAATGATGGCCAATCAAACTATTTCTCTTCCTCTAATCCAAATCCTAATACTCATGTTGGTGCTATTGTTGGAGGACCAAATTCTAATGACCAATACAATGATGCAAGATCTGATTACTCACATGCCGAACCTACCACATATATGAATGCTGCTTTTGTAGGTTCTGTTGCAGCTTTGCTTGCTGAAACTAAAACTAAGACTCTGCAATTTTCCTAAATTGATCATGCCAATGGTTAAGGAAACTTATTAATACTGTATAGCTGTTATTAATTATCATAACAAGTTAATTAGTTAAATAAGTTGTAACGAACATTAAGTCCATACTACAAAGGACTTTTATATTTTGTAATATAAAATAATAATTAAAGATATGTAATTTTCTATTATGTCACTTAATTTGATTTGATATCAAAAGATATGATATAATATTATAAAATAAATATTTTTTAGATTTGATATCAAAAGATATGATACGGTATTATAATTTTTATAAATAGGAAATTATAGTTTAGTTTAGTTATTATATTCAACATTGTTTCATTTCAAAGGCAGAAGTAATTATCTCCACATTTGTTTGACATGTTCTTTGGATGGTCCAAAGCTTCTAAATGATAACTCATAAATAAATAATTAATGTTTCTGAATCAAACTCAGGTAACATTCACAAAATCTAATAGCCTTTTCTCCTTCATTTCAACAAGATTATTAAAACAACTCAGATATAAAATCAAACTTCTCAAGAACAAGAGACAAACAATGTCAACATAACAGGAGAAGATGAAAATAATTTGGTTGTATTTTATTCAGAAACATTATAGCATTATATACACATATACATCTCTCTAATTAGATGATTCTATTTCTATAATTCAGCAACCTATTCCTATTATACTGATATGACAGTTGTCATGTTACCATATTTCCAACAAGAATCATGGATGCAATTAACTCTCATAATAACAAGAATCATAGAATATAATTTCCTTTCCTAACACTCCCCCTCAAGTTGGAGAGTGGATATAAAGAATTCCCAACTTGTGCTTCACTGTAAGAAAAAATTTCTTTCCTAGTGGTTTAGTGAATACATCGGCTACTTGTTCTGCCGAAGGAACGTACTTAGTCGCTACTGAACCATCTTGAATTTTGTCACGGATAAAATGACAATCTATCTCTATATGTCGAGTTCTTTCATGAAATATCGGATTAGACGCTATG